TGACTGTCTCATCACTCTAATCAGCACGTAAAGCTATTCAGTAACCGACTATTTAATCAAAGCAATTACCCCAATTACTGACTAATAACTCACACAAGGCAAATGTGTAGTCTGATGGTTTATTTCGAAAGAACATTGGTGGGCGACCGGAGCGGAAAAATCTAGTTAAACGCCAAGGAGTGCATTCATCATTGGATGGCATTCATATACAAACAGAGCCTTACATGTGATAAAGAAAACCTGGTACCTGCCTAACTACTCGACTCGTCCCTTAAAATTCCCAGACCACTAACTACCAATAGGTAATAATAGCGTCCTGTGTTACCAAGATCCTACAGCACTATTAGTCTCTCATCTATTTTTAGAAAGTTCACTATCGCATCCTCAATTCTTATATCCAACTCTACCAGTCTCGTTCCCTCTATATTTTACACTTGTTATTTCCTTGTGTTATCTCTGTCTTGCAAATCTCACGCTCAGTTCCGCTGCCCTACCTTCACAGTCTGTTTTGCTTACCCCTCGTCTTGATAATAATTTATATTTCGTATAAACTGGTAAGTTTACAAGAAATGCATACCATTTTACAGGCACGATCACTTATGTTATAAATTACAATCCTGAAGTATCAAAAATAATACTTTTTCAAATGTTTAAATTGTTCAAGTATTGTACAAGCAATCAGAACAGGTTTTTATAAATGTTAAATTACAAATCTTTCACAAAGCTAACTATCAAAGTTGAGCACCAATCCAAACTTCGTTCTGTCTCTTACTGATGGCTATGATGAATCAGTGAACAGCGTATATTTGGGTAAGTCCTATGCCGCCACGTGTTTAAGTAAGAGGAGACCGTGCTAGGAAACTGGAAAATGGTATAAAATACAGTTGTGGATTACATATCATTGGGAGCATATTTACAACATATATACGTCAGAAGAAGCTGGAGACTGCTTGGAATGAATTTAAGGAAGCCACAAATATGGAAGAAGAGTAAATTTTAGCTTTAATAAAGGTCTAGGTATTTGAGATGAAACCTCGCCTAGATTACTAGGTCACTAGTATTCTAGCCGGTCCCAAGCCCGGATAAAGAGGGAGGGTTGGGGCGTGGTGCTAGCAACTCCACCCCGAAACTTAACCAAATTGCTACTAAAACTTCAACGCACAAATATATTCAAAATACTAAAATTACAAATAGTGACCTTATTTTTCGATGGAATCGGGGAAGTGAAATGACGCGCGCTGGTGAAAGCCTTCGGGAAGCCAGTCAGCCGATGTGCCTTCTTTCGATGAAAGCAAAAATAAGGATGGGGACGTAGAATATTCGTACAATGTACGAAACTGGAAAGGCTGCTCAGGTAGCCGCAGAAATGAGGAGAAATAAAATAGAAGTGTCGGGAATCTGCGAGAGCAGATGGAACGGATGTGGAAGGAGCCAACTATCAACTGGAGAGACAGTAATCTACTCCGGTCACCCAGAGGACGATCACGAGCACACCGAGGGAGTAGCCATCATGATGTCACCAACAGCGGCTAAAGCTCTCATGCAGTGGGAACCAATCTCCTCCAGGATAATGACAGCCAGATTCAACTCAAAAGGAAAAAACGTTACAATCATTCAATGCTACGCGCCTACAAACGTCTCAGAACATGAGAAGAAGGAGGATTTCTACAGTCACCTACAAACAGTAATGGACAACGTCCCAAAGAGCGATATCAAAATCCTGATGGGCGACATGAATGCGAAACTGGGAGGAGACAATACAGGAAGAGAACTCACCATGGGTCGTGAGGCCCTCGGCGAAATGAACGAAAATGGCGAACTCTTCTCAGACTTCTGCGCCTTCAATGATTTGGTGATTGGTGGCAGTGTGTTCAAACACAGGGATATACACAAGGCAACATGGATTTCACCAGATGGACACACCAAAAACCAGATAGACTTCATTTCAATCTCAAGGAAGTGGAGACGGAGCCTACTGGACACAAGATCGAGGAGAGGAGCAGATGTGGGTTCAGACCACTATCTAGTACAAGGGACTTTCAAGGTGAAGTTGAAAGCCTCGAGGATACCTGGGGATAGGCCACAATGCAAGTTCAACACGCAAAAACTGAAGGACACAACCACAAAAAACACTTTCACTGCAACTGTCAGAGCAAAGCAGGAAACACTACGTGGCACCACTGACGAATCACCCGCGAAAGACCATTGGAACTCTCTGAAGGTGATTTTCAATGAAACGTGTTCAACGGTTTTAGGAAGAAAGAAGAAACAAGACAAGGAATGGCTCTCAACGGACACTTGGAAGCTAATAGAGGAGAGGAGAATGGTAAAAGAGAAAATGATTCAATGCAAAGATGGACAAGAGAAGGAGACGCTGAGCTCAACTTACACAGCACTGGACAAAGAAGTGAAGAAGAGTGCCAGGAAGGACAAAAGACAATTCTACGACAACCTGGCTACTGAAGCTGAGAAGGCAGCAGGCAAAAGGGACCTGAGGACACTATATCAGATAACCAAGTCTCTATCCAGGAAGAGATCAACACAAGTGAGACCTATAAAAGACAGCCAAGGGAACCCAATTACCAAAGAAGAAAGACAGATTAAACAATGGGCGGACCACTACAAAGGACTCTTCAACCGACCACCACCTACAACCCGTCCAGAAATACCAACAACAGCACGTACACAACTGCAAGTTGACACCAATCCTCCAACGAAAGCTGAAGTCATGAATGCAATCAAGCTTCTGAAAGCTGGAAAAGCAGCTGGACCAGATGGAATACCCCTGGAAGCACTGAAAGCGGACCCAGAAACGACAGCAGATATGCTGACTCCATTACTGCAGAAGATCTGGAAAGAGGGAAAGGTGCCTACTGACTGGAGGAAAGGTTACCTCGTGAAACTACCAAAGAAAGGCGAGCTAGGACTCTGCAAGAACTGGCGAGGAATCGTGCTCCTGTCGACGCCAAGTAAAATCCTGAGTCGCATCATCCTGGAGAGAATCAGGGACGCACTGGATACAGAATTCCGACCAGAACAAGCTGGATTCAGGAAAAACAAATCATGTTCTGACCAAATTGCAACTCTACGCATTATCATCGAACAAAGCATGGAATGGCAATCAAATCTCTACCTCAACTTTATAGACTTTGAGAAGGCCTTCGACAGCGTTGACCGCGAAGTAATTTGGAAACTACTCGAGTACTACAGCGTACCGCATATATTTATCAACCTTATTCAACAACTGTACGACAACGGCACATGTCAAGTGATCCACAACGGAAAACTCAGCGAGGCGTTCGGAGTAAACACAGGAGTCAGACAAGGGTGCTTATTGTCACCAATGATATTCCTAATTGTGGTGGACTGGACTACGCGTCAGACAGTGGGAAACGAGAAGACAGGGATAGCCTGGACCGACGTGAAGAAACTAGAAGACCTGGATTTCGCGCGTGGATGATCTATGTTTGATGTCACACAAAATCGAAGACTCACAAGCGAAAACCGACAAACTGGTCGAAGAGGCTGGCAGCAAAGACAGGACTCCAGGTGAACATAGACAAGACGGAGGTTATGAAAATAACCAACCAACTAAAAACAACAACAGCAGCAACATCCAGTGCCAATCACCATCAACGGGAGGGAGTTGAAAGAGATCACTTCATTCACTTATTTACGGAGCGTTGTCTCAACTACAGGAGGAACGGACGAGGATGTCAAATCGAGAATCGGGAAGGCGAGAAACACATTCATCAACCTAAAACCAATCTGGAAATCTTCGTCACTCAACTTACCATCAACAACAAAATTCGGATTTTCAATACAAACGACGTCAAGTCAGTCAGTTCTTCTATACGGATCAGAAACTTGGTGGGTCACAAAGAATATTTCCAACAGCCTGTTGCAGACCTTTATCAACAACTGTCTTCGCTGGCTCTATACTGAAGATCAGATGGCCGGAAAGAATCACCAACAAGAAGCTATGGGAACAAACAAAACAGGAACCAGTCACCCAACAAATATGCAGGAGAAAGTGGAGATTGATTGGACATTCGCTGAGAAGGCCGTTGGGTGATATCACGCGTCAGGCCATAGCTCGAGTGGAACGTGAAAGGAAAGCGGTGAGTGGGACGTCCAAGGGTTGCATAGAGGAGATCGTGTGAAGAGGAACTGAAACAGTATGGATTAACATGGATGCAAGTGAAAAGTACAGCAGAAGACAGAAGCAAGTGGAGACGTGCAGTTGAAGCCCTATGTTCCACTAGGAACCCAAGGGAACAATAATAATAATTTGAGATGAAATAGAGTATAACAATGTGTAAATAAGAAGATTATCGTGAGGCAGATTGGCGATATTTCAGTGGGAAGTGAATTCAAAGATATGGAAGGTTAGAACCCGTAGGACAAGCTGGCCTGTAGGATATATAACGAATGTGTGTAGGGCCCATGGGGTAGCATTTTGACAAGAAGCTGAACGGGCTTGTAGATGTTCGGAGCAAAAGCATTTTTTATCATTTAGTTCTGTTCAACCATTATTATTTCTTTTGTTGAGGGTCCAGACATGCCTAGTGCCGGTTCCACTAGAGTATTTTCCGGACTGCCTAGAGGATTTCACAGAGAAACGAAATTTTGGCTTTCCTACATCGCCACTTCTCTGATATAAATCAGAAATTCAGTCGAAAATATCCTGATATACCTCAGATTACCGGGTCGGACAGATCTATGGCGTTAATCTCTACATTGTGTTACACAAGTTGAAGTAGCAGTAGCAGTGGTACTGTTTTAATGGGACTGAGTTTGTAGCCCTACTTGAAAAGTCCCACACTTATACATGCTAAATATCATCAAAGTATGAATCTGACGGGGATCGTATGTGAAACAACTGGAGTAGTTGACAATGTGAGCTGCGACATTCGAGGAAATAGATCCTACTTCTAAGTCAAAAGAAACAAGCTCCTAGAAATGGAGAATTTTATACAAGCTGGTGAGAATCTAATTGGATATTGTTTGGCGTACACTAAATACCAAAAAGTTCATTCAGCGCAACTTTTCAAACTTGCGGTGCATAGATGACCTTAACATTTAATCTGCATGACCAGATCCCTGAACCTTCTGCGACAGCAGAAGAGCTGAATGAAGAGCTGACGAAGATGAGGAAAATAGTACGCTCTGCAAAGGTATGATGTAAAATGTGTTCCGACAATCAGGTGCACGTGTCTAGAGATTTAATAAGGTACATCAAGAAACTTCAAAAGAAGACTTCACATCTGAATGGTTGCAAACGGCTTGAAAATAAGATAAAGAATAGAATATCAGATGTTAAACTTCTTCATAGTCTTTCAGTTGTTAGGCTATGTAAACGTTTACTTGCAGAAGACCCAACTATTGAATCAGTAAGTTAACCAACTCATGTAAATTAGTACAAACTTGTCTTAGTAATCCACTTTGTTGGTGTTCCTTTATCATTATTGTATGGTTGTTAAAGCGATTTCAGTGCCACTGTTGGCCTTTACATGGACTCAACCGATGTAATGTAGATTGATCTCAACTGTGTTTGACTCTGTCGCATTACCACAGTAATTCTAGATGTTATTTCACGTAATGTGGTTCTAAAAGTTTCGTTATTTCTAATGTCCACGCTAGTGGTGCACGCATATGTCTGAGCAATGTGTGATGCCGTTTCGTCATTCAGATTCAGATCCGTATACTAAGGAAAGTAGGCCCTTGTTGATTGTGTTGTTCCTTGCAACATACATCTTTGAAGAGGCATAATTACTCCTTGGAAGCGCTCACCGATGGAGCTGTTACTGCTGAATCAGGCAAGGAGTTCCAGCCGTTGACCTCTGAGTGAGAGAATCTAAATTCCAGACGTATTTTATTTGTCCTCGGTTTTTTTTGTGGTGACCTCGTAAGTGTATCCCAGAATGAAAAAGGATTAGAAAGATCAAACCCTAAAGCGCCCTCTAATATAAGGTATGCCAAAACTGAGTTGCCTCTCCTTTGGTATGTAAATGGGATGAGATTTATATGCTCCATCCTCTTCTCATAAGGAAGGTGTGAGATTCCACTGAATAATATGGTTCCTACTCCGTATACTCTTCCCAAGATATGTGCCTCCTTCTTGAAGCACGGACTCACCGCATGTATGCACTATTCTTGATTAGGTTTGACATATGTTACATAGAGTACTTGGAACACAGATGCGTCTAATCGTTTGAAAATCTTTCGAAGTGCTAATAACATCCGAAAAGCCTTAGCTGCGGCTGCATTACAATATGACTTTGTCTTCAAATAATGTCTGATAATAATTCTTGAGTCTTTTCGTCCTTTAACATCTGGCAATTCTGTGTCCGCCAGGGAGTACGACGTGTCAGACCTCTGACCTAAGTGCATTGCTGCACTTTTCTTGGAATTAATTTCCAGACTCCCCAGTTTAGCCCATTCAGCTAATTTATCTAGATCGTTTTGTAATACCACCATTATTCATAGCTTAACATATCTTAATATATTCCGCAAATAATAAGGAAGATGAGGTGAAGATTTTCGGTGGTTCATTTACGAGTAATAGGAATATCAGGCGGTCTGGTATAGTTCCCTGTGGTACTCCATACAACACTACTTTGAACCCCGGTAGCACATCATTAACCCTTACCCTTTGCCTTCTATTTATTAGGTAGTCTTTAAACCACTCGCATTGGCATCTGTGTAATCCGAAACCTTTTAGTTTACTAAGGAGACCTGAACAGAATACTTTATCGAATGCTTTACTAAAGTCAATGTCATTGCATCGCATTGATTTTATTATTTAGTGTTATTATCGCTATGAACTCTGCATTGATCAATGTCATATGCATTGCTGCTCCAGCTTAGATTCGTTTTGTTTATTTGATAAATTCTTATTCTTGATGATTGGTGGCTTTGGATTTAAGTTATGAAGTTCCTCAGCAGCTTTAGCAATTTGATTTTCCATCCCTCCTTATGTAGCACTCGACCTAAGCCTGACCTCAATATTACTCACCCTATTACATCTACCACCTAACACGGTAGACAGACAGGCGCAAACACGCATGATCAAAGACAGCTAGCCAGGCAGGCTTTTCATGTCTTCCACTTTCAATGACCATGTCTCGCTCACAGCTAGCCATAAAGGAGGACGGGGCGAAGTGCTGCTGTGCGGTACACATGTTGTTTGGTTGACAGCCAGCGTGATATCACATCTACGAAGCCAGAGATGGTGTAAGTTGGGAAGTGCCAAACGAGCCTTCTATATCCATGTTGAGATTTGGTCAGCGATCAACCGTCTGGGGTTGGCTGATGAAACTTACCGAATTAGTGAAGTAGTCAACATGCTCAGTCGCCACTTCATTCCTACCTATCTTTAAGCCAGCTAAGAGTAGTTTATGTAGTCCAGTCCTGTAGCCTCATCATCTTACATTTGAGAGGTGAGAGTCGCATGCCAGACATTCAAAGATTGCTGCTCAAGGTATTCGCAAGACGAACAACACATCGGGATTTATTCTTGTAAACTTCAGGCTTTAAAACTACTCGTCACGGCTGAAATGCGAATTGACTGCGTACAGGTAGGTTCTGAGATAGAAATGTATGAGCAAAAACACTCGTTGACTTGAGTAAAATACTCGTTATTGTGTATTATAAGCCCGGTTAGTTTTCTGTTCTTAAAGTTGTGGAAAGTGGTTGCGTATCCGGATGACGAAGAGTCCTTCTGAGATTCACATGACTTACTAACTGGATTAACAATGTGCTTATATGCTTAGTTTTCGTACCACTTGATTATTGGTGGATTGTGTAATCTACTCTGACAGTCGAAACAGTGTACCTACACTAATTAAAGGTTCTAAGAAGATAGTGAAACATCATTTATCTGTCGTATGATTGTAGGAAGTTTGATTAAATTTGGTCCTTTCATCTTAAAGTTTCATTAGTTCCAATAACTGCTAAAAAAGAAGTTTTATCATGAATACAGAAAAATCTCAGGTTGCACTCAAAAATTGTAATATAAAAGAGATATGTGTATGCGTCTATCAACAGTAAGTAATTACATAGACCACTTCAACTTCTCATATAATTTGCATGAACAACTTGAAAATCCCCCATTGAGTAATATAAAAGAAAAAGGCGTTCAGCAAAGAGTTACTCTTCTTTTCGACGATATCATTCTCAAGCTGTACAACTGCTTGCATGTATCCAGTAAATTATCTTAGCAACAATATCCAAAGATGTGTCACTAGAACTGTAAATTTTAGATAACAAATTACGTAATATAGAAAGCGTTAATTGAGTAGAAACTGGAATACAATTAAATATGAGTGAACTGAGTGACTTAATATAACTGATGGGGTTGAGTAGAATTCAACTAAAATTGAACGAGAGTCAATTTAACAATAGTGGTAATAAGGGGTAGAGACTAAATAGATTGTGGGGGAAGAAAATAATACAGTCAAGAAAAAAAAGCACAAAATTACTTATTTGGTGTTAGGATAAATCAGGTCCATTGTAGATTTAATGACTGAGCAAACTTCTTTTGTATGCAGAGTTCAGGTTTTAACACGTGAATTGAGATTGCTTCTGCGGTTTGAAGAAGCATGATTCGTACTTTTTTGGCGAGATTCCCACTTATTCTGTAGATAACCTTGAGGTTCCTTTGTGGATTAGCTTGGTGTCCATATTTGATCAGGTGTAATAGGCTAGAGCTGCAGGCGGGTGATGGGATCTTTTTTCTCCTTTATAAAATACATCTTTGGAAATATTCCTTTTGTTTGTGAGAAAATTTACTGTATACATGCGATTGTATTGTTTGAGAATGATATCGCCGAAAAGAGTAACTCTTCGCTGAAAGCCTTCCCTTTTATATGATTTGCATGACAAGGTTGTTATAAGTAACAATAAAGAAAACTACAGGTACTGTACATATTGCTTTGAACCTGAAGTAAATATTGTCGAGATTTGGCATTCTCTTTTACCAAAGTTAAGTCGAATGTGCACTGAACTACAAACACTATATGGCAAGCTACAGCAAATTGCGGCATTTGCCTGGTGAGCTAGCTCTTAGTAAATAGTGTAACTCAGCTACATGATACAAGGCTTTCTGTATGAGTCGGGCTTTAATATTAGGGCTCGACAGACTACGTAGTTTTCCCAACTAAAAACAGATACACAATAGTTTGAATCCGAAACTCGTATGAAAGTTTAGTGATTATAAGCTCTGACTAGTCGATTAAAACATAGTACCACTCAATACTGAGTTCGCCACACAGAATAATCATGTTGAATCTATTTTATCTCTAGAAAAATGGAAATCGTCCCACTCAGGAGGATCGGTTAATTATGCGTCTTAGATCATCTAGACCCGTAGCAGCTTTTGTTCAATCATTTCGAGAGAATCATAAAGACTGGATGAGTCTTGTACATTATTTATTTTACAAAAATATATCTGGTAAATGGAAGTCAAGAGAGCAAAAGAGTCGTAATAGAAAAGTTCGGGGATCTCTACCCCTACCTCCTGCACCCGTTCAGAAACCAGAAGAAGCTACATCACAAGAAGAAAGGTATGTTTATTCAAATGAATATTTCACTGGTTTAAAGCTTTACTACTTTTTTTTCACCAAAGTATGAAAACATCCCATTTTATGTAATTAAGAACACGTGAGTCACCGAATAGATCTCTTTATCACTAATTGATAATAACCTCTGACCTTTTGTCGATCCATATTACATATATAAACAACCCTAATAACGGTACAGCTTTAGGAAGTTGCCAGAAGAGATCTCTTTACTGACTCATGTGTTATTAATTCCATATCTCATTTCAGTTCTAGTTGTGTTTGTTTCCCAGTCATAATTTCTTCATATTGAAGACATTAGAATTGAGCGAAGAAATGTTTACTTTTCAGTTACATCCACATCTCTGGCTCTATTCTAATGCTCTATCCACCTCAACTTTATACTCATTGTCTAAAAGGTGTGTTGAAACAGGGTCACGAATAAATCTTCTCACTCTACTTACTCTCCAAGGATTTAGCGTGATATTCAGAAATACAATGATGAACCTGTGTAATTGCAAGCTCAATGTTACTGGCTCCACAGCTACACTCCGAACTGCTAGGTATACATAGAGGATGCGAAATCAGGTTGTTCGTCCTTTTTTCTCGATCGTAAAATCAGAGTGGTTGTGAAGAAACAGTGTAGCTCTGCTGCTACTGTGTTGAATGCATTTTTAACTGCATTCTTCAGACGCTGTGTTACTATCTCGCTGATGCTATCATCAATAGACTGCAGTTTCATGAACAAAGACCGTTTCAGAGCTGTTGACATATTGACTTCCCCGAGTGCTGGAGTCATACTTTTACTAAGTAGTTCTCTGATAATTTTAAGCTCCTCATGAAGAAAGTCGTTCTACCAGATTATTTTAGCTGCATGAAATAAACAGTTTACTAAATTGCGTTTATATTTAAAAGGTGCAAAACTCGAAAAGTCGGTGCACTGGTATGTCGTTGTAGGTTTCCTATACATACTCCTTCTCAGTGTACTGTCCTCTCTTCTGGTCAGAAACAAACACGTCTACCAATGAGATACTTCCATTGCTTTCCTTCTGTGTTAGTAAAGTTTATTGCTGAATGCGCATCATTAAACTCGACAAGGATGTTCGCTTTTTCATTCTCGGTTTTCATAACCACAATGTGTCATCCATGTATCGACAGTAGAATTCCAAATCATTGATTACTCCTTTCACTAGTCCATTCTCTAGCATATCACCAAGGAAGAAATCAGCTAGAAATAGATCTAATTGGGAACCCATCAGTTTGTCTCTAGTATTTTTTTCTCTGTATCTCAAACTGCTGCATATCTATACGAAGTTCTACGTTGAATGCAGTCAGTTATTCCAGAGAATACTTCTGTTACAAATATGGAATTTTTAGCATGTATACAATATTGCATCTAATTTTCTCATTACGTAATACATTGATAATATCGTTAAATAAGAGTATGAATATATAATTAAATGAAATGGGAATAATATCAGCAACAATATAACATTGGGAGAAAAAATAAAAAGGGCCATTTACTTAGTGTTTCTCAGTAAGTTAGTAGTGTCATGCCTAACACACCCTTCTCAACATGATATGCAAAGACCAGGAAAGATAGATCAGAGGAAATACACATCGCAAGGTATTTGACACCATTCGACTTAGTTTCAGCTTCATTGCCATCTATGATGGTAGAATCATGCAAACGAACTATTCCATGAGAGTCGAGCTTGTTTCTGAAAGCAAAATTAACAACCTGATATCTGGGGGGGGGATTTAGCTTAAGGTCATTACCGTTTATTGACAAGGACCACTGACTAATTTCTCATAAAAAGTTATTCATTTTGCAACAATCTGATTAAGATGGAAACAGTCAGATCATCGGCATACCTAACAAAATTGGCTTCATCAGAATGAGGCAAGTCATGTGAGAAAACAGAAAAGGCAAAAGAACGGAACACTGGCTAGAGTGAGTAAAGCAATAGAGGGCTTCTCATTACATACAATGTACTCCTTACTGTCAGAGGAGTAAGAATGCAACCATTTATTACTCCATCACCCTGCTTGTGTCTCAGCCAAGCCTGTTTAACAAAAGAGAACCAGGTACATAGTCAAAGGCATATGTTTTTCAAGTATTGGTTTGCAGGGATTTTATTGATTGGTTACAGGATTTCATCATGAGCCATTGAAAAACCTGGGAGTACTGGACAGCTGTTTCGTCCTGGTTTTGGACTCTTCACCAGTACGCGCCCGCCGGGGTTCGAACCCAAGGCATTCCGGTTACAAGGCGAGCTCGTAGACCATTAAGCCACTTGGACAAATACTCGTCGAAGACATATATATATATATATATATGTATATATATTAGAGTAGAACTAGAGATGTGGATGTTACTGAGAAGTAAGTATTTGTTCACTCAATCCTTTTCTCCTCGAGAGATATCAATGGAGAATTTTTTTTCTCCATGTTGTTTGTGTATTCATTTTAGTCGGAGAAACGGAAATACTAAATGATTACTAATAACATTTTGGTGTCCAGAGGTTAATTTTTGGTAATCCTTATATTTTTTAGGTTTTCTAAAAGACTCTTTACTGATATTTCACATGTAAATGTATTATTTTCACAGGATTATAAGTTTTATTCCACTTAAAATGAGTTGACTCAATTAGCTAGTCAGGATTCAGGCGGTTAGAAGTCATTTGGCTATCTAGGCTCAGTCAGTCTAAATATACAGCTCATGAGGATGGCCTTAAACGAGGGAATTGATCTTTCTATGTTTACACCACCTTCTTTTGGCTACTTTTTAACTCCATCAGTGGTCGTTTATTCATACACTAACATGCGTTAGAGACGAATCTTACTGTTCACGTGAGTGGTCGTACATATTGCAACTGTCGATGACTATATTATTACGATTCTTTTGGGTTCTGAGTAGAGCATAGGGCTACACCAGTATCTCTGTTCTACTGTGGTTTTTTAGCTGGCTGAATGAGTGCCCATAAACCTTCATTTCCCTTTCCATCCCGCACTCATACGCCCAACTGGCTTCCTATTCAGGTCCCAATTTAAAGACGTGGCGCGTAATATCACTCAACGACTTCGTCCACTTGTGTGCGAACTATCTTCATTTCCTTATGCAGATGTATTTGTTGGTGACAGATTCTTGATTGGTTTGTTTACAGATTTCCCTGTTACTAATCCTTTCTAGGTGATAATCATTGGCGGATAAACTTGACTATAATATGGTATCTAAAATTCTAGGCTATATAATCATGCTCAGATTAAGGAGTGGGTACCTGGGAGATTCAAAAGCCAGAAAACCTAAACAGACCTTAGGGCAGGAAGAGGAGGTGTTGATTATACCTTCACTCGTCGACAAATCCTGGAACATAGGTGACTTAATTACCGGCGTCCAACACTTCAGATATTTGTTGACCCCAAGCTGTCATTTCATTCTGTCCATCGAGAGCTGCTGGCTAGTTGGTGACTATTGGAGATATCGCTCAAAATCGTTCTCAACAGTGCAGGTGCATTCACGTTTTGTGATCTCCCTATATCACTTAAAGTTTAACGTTACTCTACCTTTGTGTGTTGTATGGAGTGTTGCAACATGGATTGCTTCACTTTTGTTCTAAGTTCTATAGTGGAGCTCAGGCAGTCAGTCAATTCTTTCTAACTATCTGATCTTCAGTATGGATTAGAGGTAGGTGTTGAGATCTGTTGGAAATGCTTTAGGTGATGCCCCAAGTCTCTGAACCATATAGAAAGTACTGATTGACTCGAGCTCAATTTTGAAAATTCTGATCTCGTTCTCTGTGCTGAGTGCATCAAATTTCCGTATTTATTAAGCTAAATTTACTGCAGTTTCCTCATTTGCTTAAGTATCGTTGCAAATTAATTTGATGGATGGTGACTAGCAGTGGAATCCAAGATGCTCGTTTCGTCATATTCGGGACCCGTGTCAACTGAGTTTACCTGCTTTCCCTAGTGAGTGACTGACTGAGTGAGTGATAGTGTTCCAATTGAGGCTCGAACCAAGTACACCAAACGTCAAAGTGTTATCCACTAGACCAATTGGGCCACGAGATTTAGCCTCCTCTTGTGCAACAGGTGTTAGTCATGACTTATTTTTAATTTTCCCGTCACTATCGATCAAATTGCTTCAAGTTTCCCCTCAGACATCATCAAAGCAATTCTCAATCACAATATATGATCTGCTTGATGCTGCAAATGTCATCCCAGAGGATTCCGTACAGTTCTCTGTTTGCTAACCCTGAGACGGGATGGAAAAGGTGGAGAGGTGGTTAGTCCATGACGTGGTTTTGTAGAGTGAAGAATATTTGTGCTAAGTTAGCATCGGTTGATGCGTCATGACTCCCTGGTTGAAGTCTGAGAAATAGCTCCAATCGATGGCTCGAAACATTATCGGGTATGGCCAAGAATCGTAATCTATGGTGAACGTGCTGCAATTCCCTTCTTTCTTCGATTCCTGATTATAGTTGACGAATACTGTGTGAACTTGCTAAGTATGGCTGTTTTCCTTCCTGATGAGGTTCTTTATCAGCTCTCCACCCATATTTTTACTTTTAATCTATGTTGTTTTATTATTATTGTGTAGTGCATCGTCTTGGAGGCATAGTGTACCAAGTTTTTTCTGCGTTTAAATAATAATAATAATAATAATGATCTGCTTGATACTACCATAAATGGTATGCAAGAAAGGAAGCATAAATGCGTTGAGCTATATACTACTGATTGATTCATTAACATGAGTAGTAGTTGTATACCACTCATATCAGTCAATAGTGCTTACCAGCCAGTGTTAAGTGATCTAAACACTGGACAGCCGTTTCACTTTTTCCTGCCCCTAACTCATCAACGATGTACCCGGTATGACTCACCTCAGAGAGCCGAGTCAGTGCAAGTTACATTAAAAGCCAATTGTTGTAGTTTCTATACATATATCACTATGTTTTATATAAACGGAGGTAATATGCCATAGGGAAAATTATTTATGGGGTCATGAAGAAAATAAAAGACAAATTCAGCGAAGAGAATTTTCTTTATCGATGAAATCATCTTCAGAGACTGTACAGTCATATTTATACTTACCAAAAATGTATAGTGGCCTATTATTGAGTAATAGGGTGGGGTGACATAATTGATATAATTACTCGGAAGTGGCTTTAGAAGTAAAAATTAAAAGTTGTAAATTACGTGGTACTCAACGGCACAAAGATAGAAATTTGATAAGGTTACAATTGCTATTGAGTGAGAATAAAGGTAGTTGAGTGTCAATTTAACAAGTGTGAAGAGGGTGTGAAAATGTACAAAAGGAACATTTGAGAGTGATAATAGTGAGTTAATTATTAAAACAAAAGCAAAACTAAAAGGAGAATTTTAAAAAAGGAAAAGGAAAAATCAAAATTTTTTACAGGGAACGACTAGTGACGAGGTTGAGACCAAGGTAGAATAAGAGACTGGACAAACTATTTTCTGTATACAGAGTTCGGGGTTGTATTTACGAATCGCCAATGCCTCCGCCATATACAAAAGCCGAAACCTGACGCCCTTTGTACCATTTGGCTTCAACTTGTAGACAATCTTGAAAGACGAATCTGGTAGAGCTGTGTGGTCTGAGTTCACCAAGTGCTCGAGAATTGAGCTAGTAATTGTCTTGCAATGTTCTTTTGCTAATCATGCTGGATAATGTTCAGAGATGCGTTTGAAAAGTGTGCGCTTTGTGCGGCCCATATAACTAGCTCCACACGAGCAGGTGAATTTATAAACAGACATTAAAGTGGCCCTTCGAAAGCGGCAGTTTATCCTTCACACATCTATTGATCATTTGCAGGCTGTACATTTTCACACACGCTTCACACTTGTTAAATTGACACTCAACTACCTTCATTCTCACTCAGTAGCAATTTTAACCTTATCGAATTTCTAACTTTGTGCCGTTGAGTACCACGTAATTTACAACTTCTAATTTTTACTTCTAAAGCCATTTCCGAGTAATTATATCAATTATGTCAACCCCTATTACTCATTAATAGATCACTATACAGTTTTAGTAATAATGAATACCACTGTTAAACAGTCTCTGAAGATGATTTTGTCGATAAAGAAAATCTTTTTCAGTGAATTTGTCTTTTATTTATGGGGTATTAGTTTACTTATTATTATCATCATCATTATTATTCCTGTTTTAATTCCTAGCTATTCCTCATCAGCATATCGTATTAACAATGAAACTGAAGAGTCTAAAAATTCTACAAAATCATTGACAGTTACCAGCAATCCCTTCAGTGATGACGATGTCCTCAGTGATGCAGATTCTGATTTAGCTGAAATGATGATAACTCAATTACTGGAACAGAAAGGTATTAAAAAGTGCAATCTGGCTAAGAATAACAGTTCACTTTCATCAAAAGAAAAAGTCAGTCCTCCTATCGACGGTATTCCGTCTAAAACTGAAACAATAAAGTCTAAGATGATTAAATCAAAAGATCTCAATTCAGCACCGAATGCCTCTCATGTAAGATGGTTAAATTGATAACTTTTCCTATTCTTGTTCAAAGTTATTCATCTATTTCTCACCATTAATGTTAAAAGGCACAAGTCCTTTTGTTAGCCGTAAAGTCGTCATTTATACAGGCACTGACTAACATGATAACCTGATTGGACAGTTTTTTGATTTGTTAATTCATGGCTTAAATCTGTGAGGTTTTGTAAATATGTGATATACCACATATTTTTTAATTGAATTTTTAGATTTTCCCGTCGATTGATTGAACTGAAGTGCTCGGTGTCAGGTTGACATGTTGGCTTCTTGTGCAGATGCTTCGACGATGTCTGGGCATGTAATCAGAGGTTAATTGGTGGATGGTGGATGCGCATCTTGGATTCCACTGCTAGTCAGCATCCACCAGTTAACCTCTAATTACATGACCAGAGATCGTTGAAGCATCTGCACAAGAAGCCGACATATCAACTTAAGACCGAGTACTTCAGTCCAGTCAGTCGATGGGAAAATCTAAAATTCAATTATATAATCGATATGACCCGTTGCACAAGAGGTGGCTCTCGTGGCCCAAGTGGTCTAGTAAATAACGCTTTGGCGTTTGAAACTATGGGCACTGGGTTCGGGCCTCGATGGGATCACCATCACTCACTGGGAAATGCAGGTACATCCAGATGACGAGTCCCAAATAGGTCAAAACGCACGTTGTACTGGATTCCACTGCTAGTCGCCATTCACCAATTAAATTCTATTATGTATTTCTTCTAGGAATTATTGTTCTGTTGTTGTCGCGGTTGAATATGACTTTTATGTCTGTCTTAGTGTGGAGGATATTTTCAAGTAATTAGTTGACTATCATGTCGTGTCTAGAGGCTCACTCAAGTGAAGTCACATGACGCCAAAACCATAAGACTAAAATTTGGCCACTGTGGTAGAGTATAATTCCATTATGAATAAAAGATTTTATTTTGATAAAATCACAGTGTTGCTATACTACAGTAATATTCACTGATGACCACGTTTCGAGCACAATTTATTTATTGTCACTCATAATCATATCAAGGCACTACTCACATAACTCTTGCCTCATTTATAAACATGAGTAAAGATTGATGATTAGATATTTGAATGAAATCATTATAAGACATCCGTGAAACAGAAAGGAAGATAAAATACATTCGGAACGAATATTAGTGTTATCAATGAAATACAATAGGATGAGAAATAAGACGAGTGTTGTTAGTTAATAATATGGGAAATGGGATGTTTTTATAACAAAATGAATAAGTAGCTTGTTAGAATGTTATGTTATCAGAATATAAGAATTTAGTTAAGGTTAGATTGATTGACCCCACGAAGATAAGTAATTTAGAAAAATGCTCAGCAATCGCACTGCATGCATTAACACACAACCACACAATAGGGTGGAACAGAGTCAAAATTCTAAAAAGTAATAAAGATAGGTAGTTGGAGATACAGAGAGATTGATTACTGAATCCTGCTTAGTTCATCGAGTCTACACCCAACACATGCAATAAAAGTGACTCAACGCAAACACCAGAGATATGGAAGATATTAATAGCACCAGTCAAATCAGAGGAGGATAATAAATAATCTTGAAATTCTATCTCAATTCACTTTATAAGATTCTAACAAGCAACTTATTTATTTTACTATAAAGACATCTCATTTCCCATCTTATTAAGTGACAACACTCGTCTTATTTCCCATCCTATTGTATTTCATTGGTAACACTAATATTAGTTCCGAATATACTTTATCTTCCTTTCTGTTTCACGGATGTCTTATATTGATTTCATTCAAATGTCTAATCATCAATCTTTACTCATGTTTATAAATGAGGCAAGAAAGTTATGTGAGTAGTGCCTTGCTATGATTATGAGTGACAATAAATAAATTGTGCTCGAAACGTGGTCATCAGTAAATATTACTGTAGTATAGCAACACTGTGTGATTTTATCAAAATAAAATTTTTTAACCCATAGTGGAATGGCCCTACAACCACAGTAATACTCCGTGATAATAATTTCCCTGAAATACGTCTTCTTTTTGCTAATTTTAAATAAGGCCGCACCAAGGAGACAGCTATTATGAGACAATATTGTTTCATAATTTCTCAACAATCAGAAAAACATGTACATATCGAATAAGTCTGTTGGAAAAGGGTAGGTATCAACGATGGGTATTAACGATGAACTTACCTGCTAACAGCATTCTTTGTGAATCGATTGAATTTCAATTTATTCGAGGTCGTCATGAATTATATGTCCACCGACGTACCATTTTTCCCCCCGAATTTTCGTGTTAAATACTTCCAGTAATTCTACTGTTTTTAACACTACTACTTTCATTTTTGTGTAATTATATCGTGATGATAGAAGACAAGAGACTTGGCAACCGAATGTTTATTTGGAATTTGATATCTCTATGATATAGGGAAGCTATGTACACCAACTTATATGAAAATCAATCGTCATTTGCTCAGATCTTCTGTGTTTTGCTACTTCTGCCCTTCATGTTGTGTTTCTTTACCTTCTTCTTTTCGTGGCTCCCATGTTTTGTTGCACTACACTGGTTCACATTGGCTCTCTCTCCCTCTGTTGCATTCACGTGAAATCCATCTCTCCGCTGTTTGATATTTTTGTGCCGATGAACGTCTCTTTCTCATATACTACTGATAAATGTTGTCAGTAGCACACGCGACATTATCATAATAATCTTTCTTTTTCACCAATAAGCTAACATCGGTTAGAGAACCACTAGAAAACCACTAGGGAGTACTGGACATCTGTTTTGTCCTAGTGCACGGGATTCTTCTTCAGTACGCACCCACCACCAGGGTTTGAACCCAGCACCTTCCTGCAAACCAACACTTGAATATCAATCTGATGCTCACTGGGAACTGTCCCTATTCGGTCAGTCAGTCAATCTATTCAGGTAGGTACTTGCCTGGGTTCTAGTGAAAAGTTGTGATCAGTTGGGTACATCGCGTTGGGTGTGAGGACAAATACCATTCGATGGCATTGGCTAGTGGTAGAGCTGTGTTGTGAATCGGCAGAAGTTGGAATTCATTTGCTGGCCATTGGATTGGGTCTCAGTGGCCTAATGGTCTATGAGCTCACCTTGTAACCGCAGCTTCCCTGGTTCAAACATCGGTGGGCACGTACTTCTGAAGAGTCCCGAGAACTAGGACGAAACAGTTGGCTGTCCGGTACTCTCAGGTTTTATAATGGTTCCCTTAAACTTTTCCAGCTCATGATGTAACACCGTAGTAACCAATCAAAACCAACTTTTAAAAATCTTTCCTTTTTTGTTTATCTGTTTACTTTCACATCAGGTTAAGAAAAAGCAGATTTCATCTCCGAGCTTAGATGAAAATCAGCCTAAGAAGTTAAAGGAAGATCCACTTTTCGAAGAACTTGATGATCTTCTTGGAGACGATGATAAAGAAGTTAGAAAATCATTTGTAAGTCAATTTTGTTTGGTTTTTTTATGTGAACTTCAATGATGACCTCTGCATGCTAAGTTGATGAGACCCAAGTTATTGTTTTATTTAAATATATAAATATACTCACACATCGGAGGTAATGACTGTACAGACTGAATAGAAGGAAACCAATCAACCTGCCACTCAACCAGGTAACGGTCACATCCTAAAGAGTTTGTGTTATATAGATGACACATTCGTGATAATCAGAAGAAAGACGACTTAAACAACACTCACAACAACATCTTCAGAGATATCAGTATCACAAGAGAAGAGGAGTCCGAGGACAAAATTCTATTTTAAGACGTCCTTGTTAGTCAAGCAAATAACCAAAGGAAAATTAAAAACTCCAGTGTAGAGAAAATCAACTCACACACACCAAATACTCAATTATAACAACAACCCAATACCACACAAAACTGGGTGCATATCAAGATTATTCAAGAGAGCCAGGACTCATTGCATCACTCTTGCTTTGATTTATTTTTTATTTTGATTTACAGCTTGATTCCACACCGTATTTTCAGTACAAGTGTGGAATTTTCAGCATGGATATCGGTAGCCCAAATTCAGGCCGACCATAGATATCGGGTGTGCGCCGGCAGGGGATCGAACCCCGGACCATGTGCATGGTCGGCGAGAGTCCTAACCACTGTGCCACCGACGCACAGTATGTTGTGGTTGTCCTCCAAAATCTGGATATCCGTGAAATTTTCTCAGAAGGCATCTACCCTCAACCAACCAAATCAAAAGCATAGTGAAAATTCTCCCACCGTATTATAAGACACCTCCCAAATCAATCAATACCAACACAAGTAGATTAGAGGGTGAGAAAATATACAGAAACAGCAAGTCGCGTTCAAGGTTATCCAAAGAGATGACTAATAGACTCGTAGAGAATTTTAAAAGCTTACTCCAAATTGAAGTATTCACTGAGAGGGTTGTCTAGTAAGACTATGGAAACTTCACAACTAAACTATCCAGCTCAGAGAGGACAACTACTGCAAAAGCTTATTCTCTGTAGGGATTAGTCAATCATTCGAAGTCGCATTAAAGTCAGGCATCAATCGATGAGGTTGTGAAACTTCACCGATTGAGATGTCTACGATATGTATTATGCATACCAGGTCATCTCCTTCCTCCTGGTTAGCATAAGATTAGGTGGAGAAAAGAGTTAGAGGTGGTCAAGCCAAAATATTTCATTAGTTAATTAAGTTTTAGTCTGTCGATGTGTTGATTGTTGGGCTGTCACTTGCCTGATCGGGGTGCTCAAAACTTTACAAATTACTTAGTGGTGAAAGGCTCTGTTGATGATAGACACAGCTCAGTGGTGTAGATGCAGTCACTCTTTTTAATCCTCATTATTCTTTCCCCGCGTGAATTCACGTTCATTGTAGTTTCTCTGTGATGTTATTGTGTCTGGGAATAAAATGATATCTCTGGATATTACGTTTGTCTTCACCAATGTTCCTCTCACCGAAACTATTTGCTTTATATGCAAATTCATCGAGGAATAATAATCTAGACGTGGGTATTCCGATCCATTACTTAAAGAAGCTACTATTTAGATGCACTTTCAATAATGTGCAGTTCAAAAACAACAAATGCTTAAAAGAACCCAAAAGGTGTCGAAGAATCTGCTGTTTATGAACATTGAATTTAAAGGTGATACCACAGCTAAGGTTCTAAAAAACAACTTGTCCAAATCGCAGAGAAAAGCCTTAGTTTCGGCTGGGTGGTGGATCAGTTTCTACAGTCGACAAATGATCAGTGAAATTAGAATGAAAAGAAAAAATCACAACATTTTATTTACAAGAAAGGAAAAGTTTGTCCAGTCTCTTATTCTACCTTGGACTTAATCTCTTCACTAATCGTTCCTTGTAAATAAAATGATCTAAATAAAGCAAGAACAACAGCGGTTTGTGCAGAATAATATGGTACCATCATTTATTTCGTCGGCTTCTCATCAGTTGCTTGCAGCCTAAATAAATTGTGAGGTTTACGTACAGAAAAGTTTTTTACATACTTGCAAATTTTACATGTTGTCAGTTGACAGAATGTTCCACAGTAAGTGAACAGTGCTCAGAAAATTGCGCTTATATAGTTTTTTCACAGGCAGTTCAAGTTTAAACAAAATAGATGTATGCATACAATGGTAAAATGAGTTACGTAATAAAGACGAGAGGTGAGTAAGATGATGAGTAACTAATAAATTTTGTAACGATGTACTGAGTTTAAATCACGCCATTGAAACAAGAGACAAGCAATATTACAGATTTTAAAAAATAAAAAAAAAGGAGGGGTGAGGTTAAAGACAAAGATTACATAATCAGATTAGAGAATAAAGACATCCAGTTACCATGGCAAGGAAAGACTAATAACTGCTTCTTTCTGAACACATAAATCTGGTTTGAAGCGTTTGATAGAAATTGCTTCGGCAAACTTGAGGAGAATGGAGCTCCTTTGTCTATTGATAATTTTAAAGGATTTCTCGATTTCCACCTCATGACCCGTGTCGAGGAGATGCCTGGCGATGGCACTGTTTAAAGAATTTGTTCCCTTTAGACGTAAGCTTTTTGGTACATGTTCAGAAAATCGTAGATATGCCCTTCTTTCTGTCCTTCCAATGTAACTGCTCCCGCAGATGCATGTAAATTTGTATATGCAGTTGGAGTTCACATGAGAGGGATATCTATCGATTTTTGATTGCACCAAAGAGCAAGTTGTTTGATAGACGGGAACGAGCTTGGCTGCAGGATAGGCTATAGCTAGTGATGTACTCAGCCTTCTGTTGATCATCGCTGTAATGTTTTCACCTTTATAATCAAGCTGAAAGTAGATTGGCTTTTTTTCACTGTGATTTGTTTTACATTTTTGACTTCAGATCTTCCATACTTGTTGATGAACTTTTGAGGGTATCCATTTCTCTTCAATGTCTTTTCAAGAAACTCAAATTCTTCCTCTAATTTCTCTATAGAGCATATTCTTCTCGCTCTATAGTACAGAGTCTTGACTAGACCGCGTTTAAAGCTATTTGGACAAAAGCTATTGAAATGTAAGTATTGTCCATTCCATATAGGCTTTCGATAAATTGACTTTTGAAGACTACCGTCTTCTAGGCGTTCCATGGCAATGTCGAGGAAGTGAAACTTTCCGTCACTTTCATGTTCCATTGTAAACTCAATATTTCTGTGTGCATCATTGAATAATCCGAGTAAGTGTGAGGCATGACTTTCATTGTTGCACACTATAAATGTGTCATCAACATATCGACAGTAGGAATTTGTTTCGTCGATTGCATGCTTCAACTTTGTTCTTTCAACGTTGGCCATGAATATATCTGCTAAAATGATCAGTGGTTGTGTGCAGGATGAACTGCCGATTCAGACCATTTCAATGTGTGTTTGTAAATTCACTTGTTCTTCTAGAGTTGGTTATATTGGCCGCACAAAGCACACTTTCCAAATGCATCTTTGAACATTATGCGGCATGATTAGCAAGAGGACAATACAAGACAGCTACTAGGTTAATTCACAAGCACTCGGTGAACTCAAGTCACGCAACTCCATCATAGTTGTCTTTTAAGATTATCTACAAATTAAAACCGAATGGTAAAAATTGCGTTAGGTTTCGTCATTTGTGTATGGTGGAGGCGTTGACGATTCATCAATACAACGCCGAACGCTGTATACAGAATAAAGTTTGTCCAATCTCGTATTCTACCGTGGTCCCGCCCGCTCTTCATTAGTCGTTCCTTGTAAATTTCTCATTTTTACAACTTTACTTTTAGTTTGCTTTTACTTCAATAATTAACTCACTATTATCACTCTCACATGTTTCTTTTGTACGTTTTCACACCCTCCTCACACTTCTTAAATGGACACTCAACTGCCTTTCTTCTCAGTCAATAGCAATTTTAACCTTATTAAATTCCTGTCTTTGTGCCGTTGAGTACCACGTAATTTACAACTTCTAACTTTTACTTCTAAAGCCACTTCCGAGTAATCATATCAATTATGTCACCCCCTATTACTCAATAATAGACCACTGTACATTTTTCGTAAGTATGAATATCATTGTTAAACAGCCTCTGAAGATGATTTCATCGATAAAAGAAAAGATTTTCTTCACTCAGTTGTCTTTTATTTTCTTTGTATTTCTTCACCTTTAATGTGTGCTTTATCAGGTGTCTCGACTTGTGCAAACTTCTACGTAAAAAATTCTATTTCTGTTTTTTTTGTTTTTCTTTCTGTTCTTATAGAAAAATAAGACTTTTAAAAATCAGCTTTCAAAACAATCGAAAGGATCAACAATCAGTTCAAGACGCATTCCAAAGAGACATGATTCTACAAAATTCCCAAATAAAATAAAACCAAACAGTTTACAAATGCATAAAACAACACCACCAGTTTCTACAGCACCTATATCATCTGAGTTGACGAGACCCGGGTTACATCCGTCATGGGAAGCGAAACGATTAGAAAAAGCAAAAATTGTTAATATTTCTAAAGGTCCACCACCTGAAGCTAAACGTATCGTGTTTGACGATTAGTCATATGTACTGTACAGATAATTGATAGCCAAAAAATATATAATTTATATTATTTTTTCATTTACAGTTATCCTACAGTCTGGATGTACGGCTCATTGACTTAAATACTTGATTTTCAGCTAAACTAGATCCTGGGTTCATTCTAAACAACTAGGTGGGGTCATCATCATCATCAGCTGTCTAACAATCGATATGTCTCATAACTTGATGCATTAAAATAATTGGTTTTCCAGTTGGTTTAACTAGCTTCTTATTAATTTCAACTATGGTGTTCCCTCGGCTTGTTTTTGGAGTACCTCCATATTAACTTATTTATGAGGCATATCACACAGTTTTTTAATTGTATTCCTTTACGTTCCTAATGGGAAATAAAACTTCAAGCTAGAGGCTTAAAGTTTCGGTAGCAGTGGTGTTTATTTTTACGGGATGAGGTTTCTAGACTCATGTGCAGCCTTCTCTCTCTACCGGTCTTATTACTGGACTAGCGAGGCAAAGGAGTGCGTCTGTGGCCGGGGATTGAACCCCGGACCATATGCGGGGTCGGGCAGCTTTCTACCACTGTGCCACCGACACACATATCACACAGTGAAACAGTATTATTACTTACTGCATGACACAGCTTTGAACACAATTTATTCTTCATAATCATATCACTTATAATCACACGACTTCGTCTTAGGGGTAGTAGAATTTTCCAGATATCTGGGACAGACAGGTGTTGAATCATTCCCACTACACGTGTTTGTAGTTGATTCGATAAATAAAGCTTCCGTTATCAATCTCTCCCTCCATCCTGATACATTAGATTTTAAAACTGTCATCTTATCCCATCCATCGTAGTGTATAGTTGTGTGTTATTGCATGTAGTGCTATAACTGAACTATTCTCCGGATTTCTTATCTTGTAGGTGTCAACTAATCTAGATTTTGTTAGGTTTTCGTGCTCCACTAGTCTGACTGACACCCTCTACCGCTTTTGTATCGACAGAAGACACGGGGCCAGGCAACAGATCGTTTATTGAGAAAATCAACATTAAAATCTATAACTGTGATTTTTATGTATATTATTATTCGTTATTGTTAGCAGAGAAGCAACGTCTTCTGATTGGTTGTTTTCCTGCTGAAGGTTATTCTGTCATCTCTTTGTTGCCGTTTATGTAGACAGTCCGTTGATGTATCTGCTAATCGTATCCGCCCACGCTAAGTCTACTGTGATTGGCTGTTGAGTTCCTCAAGGTTAGGCTTTGTTTTTGTTTTTTCTCATGACCCCGATTTGGGATGTAAACATTGACGTGAAGTGGTGTCTAAAATTTTGGCTAGCAGACAGCTCTCACCATACTTTGCCTATGTATTTTACCTGGCAAACATCGCAGCAGGGTATGAATTAAACTGAATTGTTTTGTTTCATGGGCTCCACAGGACGATCCTTTAATCGAAAAGGCTTGCTTTTACAAGTGAATTTATGGGTCTCAAACTTTGTTATCCGTAAATAATACTGCTTCACTGTGCGATAATGTATGTAATAAACAAGTCAGGATCAAATTATATACTACCTCAGTGCCCAAGTTTTACACACATATATATTGTTAAGGAGTAACCATGCTTTTTTGGAAAATGTATGACGAAAATATGAATATTTTTGTGAAGTCGTCCACAGATGGTTTGGTGATCTTTTATTCTGGACTGCTAGTAACATGCTAAACATCACCACTGGTGCGGTGTGATTGTTGATGAAAAGACTGTGGTTCTTTTTTTCCGTGGTTGTGTACTTCAGTATGAGTTGAACGTGTAATACGGTGTCTAAAAGGACAAACAGTAAAAGCTCCATAATTAAATCATCTCCCTGAGTTATAAATCTTCCTCATTCAACACTTTTAGAAATTGATTTTAATCTTAAGTGTATGACAGTAAATGACCTTCTACAGGTTGAGGGGATTTTTCTTATATGAATTTCACTAATTTGAACATCCATTTCTTTATGTGAATGATTGGTCAGACTTTCTGCATTACTTATTAGGATTTTCTTTTGAATTGACTGACCTTCGCATTATTTTTTATGAACTTAGTGTATTGTCGGTAATTATTACAATAAAGAGGTTGAAAACATTCAGTAGGTTTCTTAAGCGTGCAGTATTCAAAAATAGGAGGATTACAGGCAACATAGATTGAGGGTATCCCTTTTGCCGAACTAATAAAACTGAGGAAGAATTCAAATAAACTATAGTCAGCTGGACTACCAATAGGACAACATGCATATGATTAAGCTTTTTTTTAAAAAAAAGTTGCATACGTTAAGTCACCAGACTCAAGTGAGAGTCACACGGAACAAAACATTCCATAGGCGTCAAGTTAACCAATCAGTGAAAGGAATAAGATACAAACAGCGACTGTTCTAACAATCGTATGAAATTAGAAGGATCATATGTTATATCTATCTTGTAAATTCGAAAGAACCGATAAGTTAGATGAATAAGAGAAAACCCATTTCTCAAATGATACAAAATAATGGAAAAAATTAGTCTTTTGGAGCATGATTCAGATATGGAAAGTTCTTATAAATGCACTTGAGAAAGTGGCCATCTCTTTATACTAACTAACTGTCAGATTATGAACAGAATATAATCGGAAACTCCGTTTTAAATAATAATATCACGTTAAAGGACACTTCAATGAGAACATGCCTTCCATTTGAATGCTTCGTGCTTATTTAGATTAACTATTTTCAGATGTTCGGTTTAATTTGAGAATATTATCTATATGTTTGTTTGTGGGCGGTAGATATTATGACTACGAGTGATTCCCTTTGATACATACACATGTGTTTATGCCTCATTTCTTATTGTCACTGTTTGATAATGTTGCAAATTGTATGACAAAATGTTCTGAATTATCATTATTCTCGGGTTGAGATCTATTCCCAACTCTCGCGTTGGATCTCATCAAGTTGAACCAGAAATCAGTATAAAATAATCTATGCTCGTACAACCAAGTACAGGAACTCCACGATACCATACTTGGCCCGTGTTCTAAGCGACAGAGACAATGTTAAGCGTGAAACCTGTGACTTGCTTTGTTGTTAATAACATAATTTTAGGCTCTTCTATTTCTCTTTTATTTTGTATTCTATAGTGAACACCTTCTTAAACATACTTAGCTACCTAAATTATTAACATTGGCTTACTTTTTTGTACTTTACTGTATTCCTTCTATTGTGTATCTACTGGTTCCGACTATATTAGCACTATGAGTAGTACAAAATTGTCCTGTCATTAACCATCATGTAATTATTAGTTTTTGTGGGTTTTTTTTTAATTTTTTATTTTTTCTCGGCAATATTAAACTGACAGTCATTGGTTGTGAACGCCATAGTCACCACCTTAAAAATTTTTATACTATTCAGGATTACTCACACTACCACTACAAACACTGCATTAGACCTGACAATAAAAAACAAAACAACAACCCTGAAATGTTATTTTATGATTGTTTAGAGTTGTTTCAATCAAATTAACTGACCATCTTGGCGATAAAAATTCTTAAATATCATTTCATAACTTCTTATATGACCATAGCTTTACTGTCACCATGCATGATCATATCATAGCTTCCACTACCCAATACTGAGTTGTTATTACTATATGAACTTTATTTTCCTTTCTACTTCTTGGTACTTTTTCGCATTATAATTATTTTGTGTTTATCCTGTTATTTTTTTTTGCTGTTGGTGTCTTTAGATTTATTTTCTTTTTTGTTTGTTTAATACTCCTTTTAAATGTTTGTAAAATTAGATGCAAATATTGTAGATATGTGCTGAAAATTCCACGCTGTACCACTAGTACTGTTTCTGGAATAAAGCAAATTATTATTATTATTATAACAAGGTATTATGACCATTAATATTGTTGTTTCTTTGGGTTCTGAGTTGAACACAGGGTTTCAACAGATCATTTTCACTTCATTCTCTTTTTTTCTGAAATTCTCTTTAACTGGCCCCAAGATCGCCCATAGTGTTTGATCTCCTCCTCCTAAAACGATCTCCTCCATGTTACATTTGGACACACGCCCAACTCGTCGTTTACCATTAGGGTTCCACTGAAGCCATGTCACTTGATGGTCTCTTCAGTGTGTGGCCAATCCATCAGCATTTTCTTCGGGATATTTATTCAACAATAGGTTCTTGGTTGGCTTCTTCCGCTGTTGAGTTTCTTGTTGCTAATTGTTTCTGGCCGGTCCGCTATTTGTACTTCAATATGGAGCCAGTGAAGGCGTCAGGTGTTGATAAAAGTGTGCAAGTGGCTGTTGGAAATGCTTTTAGAGACGCGTGCGCTAAATTTTTGACCCGTATAGAAGGATTGATTTAACAGTGGTTTTGAAAACCTGAAGTTTGCTATTGATGCTGTGTGCAAAAGACTTCCAAACTGATTTCAGGGTGATGAAAGTCTCAAGTATTAAATAAGAGCAACAGAATATGTTCTTTTTTAAGGAAACTGATCTCAAGACAAACATTTTTTATTTCAAAATAAATAAATTTTCAGATTGAGTATAATTGCAGGCACTGGTTGTAATTAATTTGCGATTACAATAGAAATTCATTGAATCAAAAAGCACACTCGCCTTGTAACTTGAGTTCGAACCCATATGGGGTTATGTTGCGAAGAATCACCTGCTAGGAAGAAATTGGTAGTTTTCAGTGATCCTCTAAAATAAATTAGTTTGTGACCAAATCTACCAAGAAGCCTTGAATTACGGTGTAATATATATATATATATATATATATATATATATATATATATATATATATATGATAAATCGAGCACTAAAATGAAAACAAAAGCTTCTCTACTTGAATCAACAGTTTTAATGGAGACTCCTCAGCAGAAATACTGAGAAACGGTTTGCGGCTGAACACCGAATACCTTTCTCTACGAAACCGGTGATCTGCGTAACGGATAAACTACGACTGTTGGCCCCATCAGTCTGCATCTAGCAGTTCATCTGCTACTGAGGAACTAGCTATGTCCGCCGTG